TATCCCTCTGTCTCCCTCAGAGACATGAAACACAAGAATACATGTTGCTTTTAACCCTGAAAAAAGCTCAAGGTGATGGAGTCTTTTTTGTTTGTAGATCCAGTATAAATATCTCCTCTTATTCCTCCCCTCCTCCCCTCTAGGAAACATAGTCCCAATATTTTTTCAGGCTCAGGGACTAAACATTAATTTGAGAATCTAAATATTTTCTGGGTACCTCTGGGACAAAATAGCTCTTGTGTAATTAGCTAATAGTGTTTTGCTCATCAAGGGGTATTTTTCATGCCAGGATATGACAGACTTAGATTGATGTATCTGTTATGACTCACTTTGACTCACTTTGACTATTGATTTATTTGTAGATAATATACGGGTGATAATATACGGGTGATCGTATTATAAAAATCCCTAACCCAATGGTGTTTTACCACTTTCTCCAGTTCTCTAAAAGCAAGCATTTATTGGTCAACTCCACTAGCAGAGGCAGAGGCCTTCTCTGAAGGTTTGGACAGACAAGGGGTTGTAGTATTCACATTTGAGTTCCAGTACTGAACAAATGTACAGGCTTCTCCCAGCTGCACTGATTCATAATGTCCTGGAGTCACTGGTGCTGTAATGCTGCACAGCTATGTGGCTAGTAAATAGATATCCCAACATGCATTTTGACCATGATCCCCTAGGCACTTCTTAAAACAGAAGAACAACATCAGCAGAGCTTTCTACTCAGGGCTTCCAACCACTGGGTGACTGGGTAGGCTCTGAAGCTGGACTGCTTTTCTAGGTAGCTCAGGCAGTGGCAGCTCCTTCTGGCTACCACTCTCCCAGTCACAGCCCTGCAGTACTGGAGGAGACCTGTACACAGCCCCGAATGGCCTCGCACCTCCTGTGGACTTGCCTGCTCATGCTGAACAACTTCAGGAACAGCAGCGCTAGTGGGGCAGAAGTGTGCTCCATGCAGGATAAAAGCTCTTGCTGGATATCTAGTTTGCCTAACTGTGGTCTTGACTTGAGGCTTACCCTGAACTTTGACTTAGGCTTCCAACTTACCTTGAACCCCAGACTTGGCTCCTAGCTCTGTGACCATCTCCAGTCTTTATGTCTCTGTTTCAGGGAGAGACACATAAGCAGTGATCCGTAGAAGTAGATAGTCTTGAGGACCTGGAAAAATGGGGTGCATTGAGCTTGTTCTGCTGCAGAAATTCATGAAGCTTATGATGAGAGGAATGTGTCACTTAAAACACAAAGCACTAATATAGGGATGTCCCTGGATGTGGAGAGTGGATGCTTATTCCCATGAGGAAGTTGGGATCCCCTAATACCCTCCATTCCATTGCCAACCAGGTTGACAATGGTTACCCAGACCAGCTGTCCAGGCAGATTGCCACACCAACCAGAAAGTATTGGCACTGAGCTGCTTCTATGGAAGGTCAAGGACAGGTTTGCCAGCATGGCCTTTTTTTGCTGCATAGGGGTCATTGATGGTTGCAAAGGCAACATTAGGATATTGCTAGCCAGAAAGGGAACTTCACTTATGTGGCTTCAGGTTGTAGTACAAGGTCCACAATAGCAGAGGAAGAATTATTCATTCATGGTGCTCCCAGCACAGACTTTGAAGTGGTTCCCATCCCCACTCCCTTCGGGACCAGGCCTACATGCACATGCTTCCTTTGTCTCATGTCTTAGAATGTCTCGGGGATTGCGGCCTAGGCAGTGCAGGTACATTACCTAGTTAACAGGGCAACTTTAGAGACTGTGATCAAAGCCAGGTTTCACAGGAAGCTCTGAGTCACAGAGCTAGGAGCCAGTTCTGGGGTTCAAGGTAAGCTGGAAGCCAAAGTCCAAGTTCAGGGTAAGCCTTAAGTCAAGACCACAGTTAGATAAGCTAGATGTCCTGCCAGAGTTTTATGTAAAAAAGGAATCAAAGAACTGTGAAGGGGTTACAAAGAAGAACCCAAGTCTTCACCCAGGCAGCCTGCTGCTGTCTTGGGGTATGCTTTAAAGAGTGGAGCAGGTGGACTCTGTTTCTAGGACTCTCTAGGTGTAGAACTCTGATCTGAGCTCATTGACTTATGAAGCACTATTTGGATGCACTACTTGGAAGCACTTGGATTGGATCTTCAAATACCAGGTGAGCAGCTGCTGAATGACTACCAAATGTGTCTCAGGATATCACAAGGCAAGTTGGAGGCCACTGAGGTTTATGCCTGGATACTAGTCAGTGGTTTGGTTTTTTTTGTCAGGTGATCATCTTAGCCTGCATCTTGTTACACAAAGTTGGGGTGAGGTGATATAATCTGGACAAAAGGAAGAAAGAAGGGAGGAGAAGTATGCTTTATACAAATGGCCCACAAGTGGCCTAGCTTTCCTCTTATGTCCTCATTGATTCCCAAAGGAAGGGAGGACTCCTTGTAGTGAAGTGAGAAGGTAGCCTACTGTTCTATTGTGTGAGTGGTTTCAGAGCTACAGTACCACAGTGGCTTGCTTTTCCCCAAGGTAAAGTGCACAAGAACCTGTGAGATAAAGGGATGTGGCCTGCACCTGCACATCCAAGCCCTTTGGTAAGGGTGTTGTTCCATGGTTCCACCCTGTGTTGTACAAGGAGCTTTGCAGTCTTGCAGCATGACGGGGCTGTTGCAGGGTGTTTGCCAGGATGACACAAAGTAGCCTGTGGTGCTCAAGACCAGCTCTCAGTATGGCCAAG